ACACAAAAACAGACTACATGGGAATTAACTAAACAATGAGACTAAGGACAAGAGGATACGATCATATGGGAATTGGAAACGTGGCACGGTGGTGCCAAAATCTGACAAAAACAAAAAAAAAAACCCGCTGGTGCTCAATAGAAATCCAATGGGAGAAATGGAGGAAGCTGTGAATGGATTCAAACACAACACACAAACATCCGAAACAGAAAGGATGAACAAACTAACTCACCATCACAAATTTGGTATTTCGATATCCAGAATGCATCTGGACTCACATCATCATTCATTAATGGCCACGCATCAAAAGCAGTCCTTAACGATTTAAAGTTACAACATATTACTTAATTTTTTTTTCCTTTTTCAATTTAGTCCTTCTCCTTGGTATAGGTAATATTCTTTTAACTCATGTTCTGAAATTCAGAGTAGAACCATGGCTGAACACCGATCTTCTGACTCCGTTGTTATTGCCAGTAGTTCCCGTTGTGGATGAGGTAGATGTGGCTCGGGCTTCCGTGATGCAGGTGGTAGCCATAGTGAGGAGCCTTCCCCGCCGATTTCCCAATATAGAGAGGGAAAGCCACTGGAGCCGAGATCTGGCGGATGCAGGACAGTCTCGGAGAAGAGGATGATGACTTTGAGGACGAAACTGATGACGGAGGTGGTGATGTAGATTTGTTGGCGGATTTTGGCAGCGAAAGGAAGGCTCTGATCTTTAGAGAGGACGGTGGTGATGCTACGCGATCATATTCCTCGATGAGATTCGCTAGATCCTCATCGGAGGTGATCGACACCAGAGCGTCCAGATCCTCCGCCGGCAACTGGCACCGTAAACACACCGCCGTACTGCACATCTCCCGGAGCTTCAACGACAACTCTGCACCACACGATAATTTCACTCCACATCAACAAACAAGTACTGGAAAATAACCAGCACTTTCTTCGCATTTTTTAATTTCTTAACCAAACAGACATCTAAATCTCTAATTAATGCACTGATTTAGCTAAATTCAAAACACAGAACACGAAGATTGGACGAGATTTCAGTGAAAAAGTAGAATAAAATAGAGGAAAAAAAAAAGAGTACTGACCGGAAAAGGTGATGGAACGATCGACGGCTAGGACGCGAGTTTGGCCGCCCTGATAACGGAGCTTGCCGTCAGGGTAGCGGGGGAGGATTTTGCCACCGTAACTACAAAGGAACTTGATGGTGGCGGTAAGTCCGGCCATGATTTTCCGGTGGTTTGGAGCAAGGGAGATGGGGTGCAGTAAATTGGAATTTGAAGAGAAATGGGATGAGCGAGAGCTTGGAAGATGCTTTCGTGGCGGCGCCTTCAAGCCTAGGTGTGGTAACCTTGAGCCCTTATTTATAGGGCTGAGAAGTGAGAACCCGGTCGGTCCGCTTGCGTCAGGAGTTGTAGGATCCGGAATTCGGATTCTTCCCACACCTCAGATAAAATAAAACCCAAACCGCTTTAATGGTAGTTTTGTTTGAATATATTAAAAAAATTATAATTATAATTTTACGTAATATTATTAATTTATAATATAATTTATTTATTATATATAATTTATTTTTATTTAAAAATATATTTATAATATTATATTATTTATATTTAATATTTTTTTACTTATTTTTAATTAATTTAATTTAATATTTAAAATTTTAAAATACAAATTTTAAATAAAAATTTAATAATTTATATAAATAATAATTTAAAAGATTTTTGTCAGATACAAAAATTATTTGAATCATTTTGACTCGACAATTATTTATTTATTTATTTTTAATACGAGGGATTACAAGGGAATTATAGAGTTTTTTAAGTCATTAATGGAAACGAATTTTTGATTAATTTTAACTTAAACACTTAAAATTTAAAAATGAATAATTGAATCCAAATACTTAGCTTTAATTCGACAATTAATTAGAGATTATCTAAGAGTAAATATTAATGAGTATTAATAGGGTATCAGAGCCTAATTAAAGTGATATCTTTCTGGATTTAATGACGGTTTTAATTATAGGGTTTTTTACATTTGTATTAACACTAAAATGCGCTTATTTATTTTCACAGTACCTGCCTTGCTTTCCTCTCCCTCCGTCTCTGCTCGCCTTCTTCTCTCTTGTTCCCTAAATTTTTTTTCTACTGCACCACCAACATTCAATTTGTTGTTTTGTAAAATTATTTCTCAATCCATTTAAAAAAGACAGAAGTAGGAGAAAGATTTGAAAAGATATGAAAAAAAAAAAAAATTAACATAATAAAAAACAAAATATTAATAGCCCTTAACAATTCACTTGATGATTTTAACAATTCCTCGAAAAGGGGTTTGCAACGTGAAAGTAAATGAGGGCATTTTCATCTTAATAAAAAATAAAAATTTTATAACTGAAATAGTCATTAAATCCATGAGAGATATTACTTTAGGCTTTGATATTCTAATTAATGCTTATTAACTTGGGCGGCAAAGGTTGAAAATTTTCTTACATAAACATTCATTTTTATTTTTTTAATAATAATTAATTTAAAAAAAAATAGTTACCCTCAATATTTTTCTAAATAATTTGCCATTAAAACAAATAAATTTTATTAGATATGCAATAATTGATGTAAAATGACTAGTATATTACATGAATTGACCATTAAAAACTTAGATTTTGAACCAAATAAAATTATTATAAAGTTACTAGATGGTTGATCCCACCACAAATTTCCAAAATCACAATTATTGGGTTTAACATAGTTGTCTTTTTTTTTTTGGGGGGTGGGGGGAAAGTGGTTAACAGAAAAAATGCTTTGAGTAAAATATTTATTTGTACAATGCTTTATATAATATAATACAACATTACACAAGTACTCAAGTAGATGTATATTAATTTACATGCAATATTTGAATAAAAAGATTTTTTTTGCAAATAAAATAAAATAAATTAGTTATTCAATTAAAAATTATATCATATTGTACAAATTATTCTCCAATGTACATTCATCTTCGTTTAATATAATACTATAATTTTATAATGATTCTCTTTTATAAAGTTTGTGATTTAAGCATGTAATATTTTTCTTATTTAGCAAAAGCAACTCCTTTTGAATTCATTTAACCTTTTTTCCACTTTTCTTGCTTTTGTTTGTAAGGTTTAAATTAATGCTATTCTTTTCTAACAAAGTCGAATGCCAAAACGACAAGTTTTGCATTATATTCCACAAACCAAACCCAAAGGAAACAAAACAGAATATTCCCATGAAACTTCCGATATTGCTTCGAGAACGGAAATTGGAATCCACATGAATTGTTTTTTCCAAATTTAAAAAAAAAAATCAATATTCCGAATCGAATATTTTTATTAACTTCTTTTTCAATTGCAAAACACATTAAATTATTTCTTTTTCTCAACCTTTTTCAGCGAAATAGAAAAAAACAATAAGTTCGTGTTTTACATGTCAGTTTGTATATTAAAAGTATAATTTAAAAATTAAAATAATTAAATCATTATCAATAAAATAATATAAAAATAATTTTATTAAAAATAATTTAATAAATTTATAAAATTAGATTACATTTTTAATATACAATCTGATCTATAAAATATTTTTTCAGTGCACAAAACTGATATTTTCACAACTATGGAAGGTAACCAATCAAATTTATTTATATATTTATATTGAAGTTGAAATTTCTGTTTTTATTAAGACACAAAAAATTACTGGAAAAAAAAAAAAAAACGGCCTGTACCTATTCTCTTCAACTGCAAAATTTGGGTGGTCCAGACTGGGCCCGCAATTTGCGGTCGCATTCATATTCATCGGGAGTGCGAAGGGATGGGCCCAACTGTCACATCGTTTTGCAGAGGATGCTCGGCATCGGCCCAATAGCATTGCTTGACAGATGTCAGGATATAATTGGATAGGTTCATGAATTGATAAATTTTTGAATTTGCTTTTTTCTTTTAATGGTGTGTTATATAGGGCCTCCTTTGCTTTACGGAATTTTTAAACAACACTATCTCTTAATTAATATTATATATTTTTATTAATTTTTAAAAATATTATATTTTTTTAATAACAATTAATATAAAAAAATACTATTAAAACATAAATTAAAAAAAATATTTTTTAAGATAATAAAAATCCAAAATGCTATAACAATAATTACAACAAAACAATCTTAAACAAAACCATAATAAGAGATATTCCCCTTCTTCTCGAATTTCTTTGTAACCATTTCAAATTCAAATGATAACAACATAATTATAATGCTATTTAAAAAAATAAATTTATAATATTAATGTAGTATTAAAAATATAAATACATATAATAAGTATAACTTTAAATAAAAAACAAATCACATAGCAACACATTAAAATTATAAATTTATAATATATTAAATTATTAACATTACAATTACAAGTGTATCATTTTCGAAATATAACTTTCAACTAGCGAAATGTCTCTATTAGACAATTTTTTAATTAATTATTTAAACCATTTTGGAGTATTCTGGTGTGGCGGTATGGTGCCTTGTCACTGTATTTCAAGCTTCACCATTTACTGGGGATTTGCCCGTTTGTGGTCCTGTTACCTCCACGGTCCACCATCCAGGCCTGGTATATCAATTGTTTCTTGAGAATACCAAAAATGAGAAAGAATGTGTAAGCTACAAGCAAGATGTTGAAACAAGTTGCAAGAATACAAAAGTGTAACAATCTAGCATAAATTTCTTAAATGAAAAGAAATGACTCGTAATATTATAAATTTATAATATTATGTCATATTATATTATTTTTTTATAAATAGATAATAAAAATTTTTAAGAAAATGATTTAACATATTTTTTAACACATTTTTAATTCAATTATTAAAAATACAATTGATTTAATCGGTTTCTATATTTTGTATGTATGATTATATTTTTAAATTTATTTTTTTTAATTTTAAACTAAAAAATAATAATTTTTTTATGAATATGTTATATAATATGTTGAATCAGAATACATACAAATCACAATCCTAACTTTTATTGATAAAACATAAAAAATGCTCTTATTTACATAATATTATAACTATAATATTTTTAATAATTAAGATATCGATGTAAGGCTCAAAATCTATCGCTCCTATTGTAGGCTCATACAAGTGTCTTGTTATAAGATTTGATTGGAACATCCGTAAAGTCTTATTCTACCATATGAGACTGATCACAATTGATAAGATTAGTCTCTAATGATGAGGATTAGATTTATAATACTATAATATTATTATATGCAAAGTTGGCATGCTTTTGGACTGCCTCCATAATCTGTTTTATAATCAGCAAATAGTAGTTCAACAGTCGTCTACAATTATAAGCATCATTAATTTGTTTAATGTATTGGTTCTCGATCGAATCTGATTAATTATTTGGTAGGTACAAATAGGCGCAGTCCATTAATGTTTCAAAATCTAGTTTTATTTCATGGAGAATAATTAAGATCATCAACGATTTTGTTTCTTTAAAAAAAAAAAATTTCATCTTTATTAGAAACATACATTATGTGGTGCTGATTAAGTCGATCGTATCTCGCATGTCTTTGCCTTGAATCAATTCAGTAACCTTCTCTATTTTGGACAATACTAAAAATTATCAACTTAATTAATTAATATATTACATTTTTGCCGATTAAAAAAAATTAACATACTACCTTTTTTTTTTAATGTTTAAATTAATATACTACATTTAAACAATATTATGATTTATGATTATGTTACAATATGGGTTAAAGAACGGAAATGCCTACTAATGGACGGCTTAGTAATGATTATCTTCAACTAACCAAAAGTATTTTAAATTTGCATACCCATTTAATATTGTATTAATATTAAATTTTATATTTTTAGTATTTAATTTAAATTTTTGACTTTTAAAATATAAATTTTAAAAAATAATAAATTATTTGAA